TGACTAGTAACTCGTGTAAATCATCCATAAGAGCAGGTTCCCCGAATTTGAAGAGGGCTGGAGGAAGATCATCTGCTCCCGCGGCTTTATTTAACTTCAACAGTCCGACCTCACGTTCGACTTCTGAGCGAGAGGGTGGATCCAAAGGGACAGCCCAGGGAGTGGGGCGATCAGTGGCCGGCGAGAAATCTAACCATTCTGACCGATTAAGTTGCTTTTCAGTGTGCTCAGCCCAACGCTCTAAGATTTTTGTTAAGTTGTGGATAAGCTGTTCACTCTCGTCACGTATAGTTTCACTAACACCAGGTCTCCTGCTGCCCGTTTCCCGTATCAGACGGAATAACTTACGATGGTTACCAACGGCAGCGGCAACTTCCATCTCTGACGCACGATGAGATCACCAGGGTCCCAGTTCTCCCTACAGGCTAGCACGGAGTTTTGCCCGGAGCTCTTTGCGAGTTTCATTGTGTTCGCTTCCAGCCGGATATGCCGGCGAGCATCGATAAGTTCCAGAGACTGCGAAGAGACCCAATGTCCATGTTGGCGATTAGACTTACCACATGAGGATTTGCCTGCTGCTAGTAAGGTCTGGTGAACATGAGACCAGTGAGCTTCAATTGCATCCAGTGAGCGCTTGCTCAACTCGCATGACAGCGTACTTCGATACGCATTCAGAACAGCTGGTTTCGCCAGTTGGCTGGTGTCAATGCGCTCACAGCGTCGTCGTGGGCGTCCGCCAAAACGCATCCGAATGTCAGCACATACAAGTGCATGGTCGGTGTCTACACCTGTGCTCCAAATCGAGCGACAGTTCTGGATGCAGCCTCTCCATCGGTAACTTATCGCAATGTGATCGATTTGCGTCCATAGCTGGTTCGAGGCTGGCGGGCGCCAAGTCACCCTCCGGCGGGTGCTGTGCCTGCAATTAGTGCTCGCAAGAAATAAGCGAGCATCCTCACACAAATGAAGTAACCGCTCACCGTTATCATTACGGGAGCCTATACCATGTTGGCCGCCCAGATGCAGCTCATCTGTGGATAATTTTCCAACTTGAGCGTTCAGATCCCCAGCCAGCACAACAGTGTCCGAGCTACTTCTGTGGCTAAGGAGCTTGTTCAGTTGATGCTACAAGTCGTCTTTTACCTAGTCATCGCTACAGTTTGTCGGTGCATAGGCAGCGATAACGAATAGACACCTGTTAGTCCCACGCGACTTCGAAGTATTGAACGAGCCAGCCAATCGGACCGCACACATCCGGCTACTGATTGGAATCCAATCAACCAGAGTAACTTCAGCCCGGGGACTCAGGGCAATACCAACACCGGCTTGGCTGGCGCTCGAAGCTGCATCGTCACCGGATAGGCGCAATGAGAAAGTGCTGGTAGTGTCACCTGACGGGGGATCGCAAAGTGAGCACAGAGCTCGAGTCTTGCAGGCGAGTCTCCGATAAGCAGCATATATCGATCGATAGGGTCTCTAATGTTCGAGCAAGTGCTGCCTGTTGACAGATCTGAAGCAGTGTGCGAACATTGAGGCATGCCAATCTGAAAGAGGATCGAGGGCTCCAAATGGAAGCTAACGAACTGAAACGGGCCGCTTGCTTGGACATGGGCCTGTTGACAGGGCAGGAATGACGCTCCGCGTTCACATGTGTTGAAACTAAAAGGCAAGCGACTATTGAAGCTAGGTGGGGAGGGCCGAGAATTGGGGGTTGAAAACAGGGGGGATAAAAGTGAAGCTGGAATGGGACGATAAGGGTGAAAAAGCGCAAGAGAGGGAATAAGAAGACGGGAAGTCTTGAGCAGTAGCATCCAAACCCCTATCTACCCTGCTCGATGCAGCAGATAGGGCACCGTTGATTATCCTCTGCGGTGGCCAGAGCATCAGCAATTTGTATGAAGTGTGATCCATTGTATTGCGTGGGCAGGATACTGTCAGGTTGCCCAGGCCTAGACAGGAGAACGATTAGGGTTTTCAACCAAAGCCTTTGGTTCAAAAACCTGACCGCAAGGCAGCGGGTTTGGCGTTGGGCTACAAGGAGTCCGTTTTAAGGAATAAGGTGCCACCCTCATTCCAACCCCCAACCTGGAGGACCAGGAGGCTGAGTTTGTCTGACCTCTAACCATTGACCAATCTGGTATGAGTGGCTCTGAAGGTGCAAAAAAATGCACCACCCAGTATAGCTCAATGGATCACTGAGGCACACAAACCATCGCACCACGGTAAGGTTCAGCCTCATTGCGATGGACGTTCATCTGCTACACAGCGCTCAACCGCCTTTGTTTCAACTATTCACAATCCCTCATAAGTCTCATGTTCATTTCCCATCAGTCGATGTTACCCGTTACCAGTCGACTCATGTGTCCATGATTTTACTCCCCATAGTTACGTTGGCGTCCAAAGAGCTCGACCAATAGCCCTCCTTCGGCTTTGACTCTTCTTCCGTCTGATTTGCATCAATGTAACCATATTCATGCGAATCGAGCAACAAGCTAGTCTCCTGCGCACCTTGGAACCCCTCGTCATTGGTATTTGCAGTCTTATGTGACTCAATCATGGTTTCAGATTGATCATATCACGATCAGTTTCAGATGGCGGGATTGTGTAGAGGATTGCAATTCCAGCAGGTCCACTTTTCTTGACTAAGACCATGCTCTTGTCAGCGTGAACATCCGCATGAGTTCCGGATGGTCCAGCAAGACAGCTCACAGTAAGGATGATGTAAGTAAGCTTGCTACTCCCTTGATCCAGCAGAGAAACCATTCCTCCCTGGTGAAGGTCCATAGCTGCGATCCTCCGCAAGACATTTTTGAGCACTGAACTTTCATGCATAATACCATGATCTCTTCCGGACAGTCAGTCTGTGGTCATACCACAAATGGCCTCAGCAGTAGACCGGTAGGCAGGGCCGATGCTTCGCTGTCACGCAACCACTACAAGTCGCGCGTGAGCTAAGAATACTGCGGGGGTCGTCCTGTCCCTACGCAGGCTCGAACCCGCGACCTCCGGGTTACAAAGCAGACGTCTTTCCGTTCTTCCACAAGGCCGTCTGCCTATGAAGGCCTGGATCTCCACGCGTTCCCTGAATCTGTTTGGCTACTGCAAAAGGATTTTGGCTGAGTCAAATCATAATGAAGTGCGCCATTTTGTCGCTCGGCTGCTCAAACAAAACTTACTCAGTGGTCACGAAGACTGGTGGTGGTCGTGGTGCTTCAGGAATGGAGAACGCTGCCTCAATGGCAATATTCGCAAGCTCTTCCAGCTCATTCGATCCACTGAACACAAGAAGCCCGGTATCAGTGAGGCTGTTTGCAAAGCGGCTAGTTCATTGATTATTGACCTGTGAAGACGCTTGGATCGATGGGCTAACCATTTTTATTCCCAGTCCAATTGGCGTTCACCGTCCACTTGTATGCCCTGCGAACTCAGCTGCTCCTCCTGGGTCCTCATACTTAATCCACCAGGCGAAACAGGAGTCTGACTTGTGATTCGACTATTGTGGCGATTCAAGACAGACAGCTCAGACGGACTTCCTCCGGAGCTGTTCATCAGGCAATTAACCTGCTTATTCTCAAAAATTTGGAATGAAGGTGTCTTATTCCTGGAACCAATCAGTCCTTGCCACTATTTTTACGAAAGGTGTTTGTGCTTCGTGCGCCGGTCACCGGGGCATCCGTTGCATTTCGGTTACCTCTATGCTATTGGAACCAATTCTACTTTTAGACCATCCCCGAATCGTAAACGGCCGTACCGCGTTAAACCCGCTAGATTCCGTCCTGGCCGTCGGTGTGTGAATCAATATTCACACACCGTCAAATCCTTGAACTCAGTCACTTCTACCAGAGGCCTGCCATCGTTGCAATCCTAGACATCCATGTTGAATTTCACTCGGTTTATCGACCTGTGCCACGGCGTTGGTTGCTAAGGTGCGGGGTCCCGGTTAATTATGATACTATGCTCACGTCCTCTAACTCCGTGTCTCTGATAGAGTGAAGGTTTATCGCAAGCTTTCCTCGACCCATGCTCACAATAGCTGTGTATAATAGGGCAGCCTTATATCCCCGTTTATCCTCCATTTAGCGGTTCAAAACTTCCTATCGAAAGCTCTGGAAACCTAGCTACATGTTAGCCTGCAGCGACTACCGAGTAAGCGAGCGACCGAGTTAGAACGCGCTGCTGATATATATATATATATATATATATATATATATATATATATATATATATATATATATATATGGGATGGGCCGTCAACCCTTGATAAGCAAGCAAGCACGTGACTTCTGTACTTGACCTCTTCAATTATTTTTCCTTGCCCGTCGCTCGTTAGTTGTTTCATCGCCGTCTCTTTCGCCTTATATCGTGACTCATGGACCTCATAATTTCATTTTCCATCAGTTGTTGTTTCACTATCTTCCGTATACCGATGAGACAAACGAATGTCACCGCATGTCAGCATATGATATAGTCTTCGTTTTCCCTTCTTCATTTTTGAAACGTATCCGTGACATCTTTTAACCATGTATCCATTCGCGAGGAAAGCAGGATAGTTCATTCACATTTCTCTTCACACTGACTTCACTTTAATCTCATTGGGCGCACCGTTTTATCCCTTAAATGGCTCTGAGTAAACCGACAGATGCCACATCGCATCTTGAGGTCTGAGATTAGTTGAATTTATCAAGTATAAGCGTTAATTTACTAAACATAATGTTGTGTAACTGTTTTAAGCCTTACATACTAAATCCATAGAACTTCCTTACAATTTTGTTGCTTAGTTGACTTAACCTGCAGTCTTGGGTTTGTCTCCTATAAGATATATGCGTGCCACTAGCCTGTGATATGTTGGATGTATGGGACTTGCTGGTCGTGCATGTTGTTAGTTCTTAGTGCATCTGACGAATCTCCAACAGGTTAATTCATCTGTCTCCTTCCAGTGCCATTTTAATATTTTGGGTATTATTCACCCATTGGTTATTTCTCGTTGCATACTTTTCTAGGAAGGAGATCACGAACGAACCATAGTCATCAGTAACCCCCAACCGCGCACAGAAAGAAGGGTGCAAGCGGAGATTTCTCCAGCTTGGTTATCAGAAAGCAGCAGGTGAGTGTGCTGCGTCAAATTGCACTGCAAAGCTTAACAACGTATTTCTCATGTACTTAGATTGCCACACAACCGCCGTGAGATAGCTTCGAAACCTGTTAATTGTCCATGATCGCTCAGTTTTGTCATCCCCGTTCATCTATATTTGATGAACTCAACCCATTTTCTTCTGCACCTTGAAATTACTAGCGTTGCTCAAGCGGGTGACTAGGTAGAATGGCTGGATGTTCTTAGCATAGTATCTGGCCGAGGGCACAGCCCATGTCACCTCTAAGCTTCATTCGCACCATCTACTGCTGAGGTCACTGAACACTTCTTGCCCATTCGATAGCCAACATATCGGTTCCTTTACTACGCAGTCTTTAATTGCCACCTTTTCATCTGGCCTTAAGTGGTGAACAGCAACCGGCTCTACTCACAGGAAATGCAATTTTACTCGAAACTGTGATTCATGCTGGATGGAATTTCAGTAAATTGGAGTCGCGGCCATGCTATCTCTGCCTGATAAGCGCAAATAACTGCGAGACTAATTGGAGGGTCAATTTGAAGTACACGTTGTGTAGATGGATTGCGACGCGCAATCTCAAAGTGGACCACGATTCCCGTTGAAGTGTAGCTTGGCCATTCGATCACCAGGACTGTAGCTGAGATTGCGCGTCGCAATCCATCTACACAACGTGTAGTGCAAATTTACCCTCCAATCTATCATTAACCGTTGTGCCAAAGATTTCCTGTCGTGACCCGGTAGCTTAGGGGTAGCTATCACAGCTAACATCCCAATGGTCCCTGGTTCGATGCCCGCTATATCTGATGAGATGACAAAACCTCGAACCGCGTCATGGAGAGTAGCGTTTTCAGGCGTGCAAAACCCAATTTGCTTCTGCTCCAACTACGAGACCAGTTGTGGACTGTAGCGGTGCGGCCGAGTCTCGCCTTCAAGTCGTCAACTATACCATTTTACACGCATATTAGCGTATTGTATCAAGCTTTTAGCGTGGTTCATTTTCGAAATAGCGTGCGGTACTTTCAAGTTAGCGAGGCGGAGAACGCTGATTTGGCGTCCTTGACACTCTCATTGGTTATGGGACATAAAACAATGGGACACCGGTTAGAAGCTGCCAGCATAAGCGACAGACCGTCCAATGAAACTGTTCGAGCACCACCTTCCGTTCTGCCCTGATGCCCCTCTGGAGTAAACCACGATGATTGGTATCCAACCTGAAACCGACCAATAGGTCAATTGTGATGCTTGTCAAAGGAGGAGATGCTAGCTACCACATTATCCAAAGCTAAAGACTTAACCAGTGTGGATAGACATACTAACCAGCACATGTAGCGGTCTATGGCGATCACTGGTGGCTAACTAATGGTGGCTTATTCAGCGGCCTAACCATGGTGGCGTAGACAGGGAACCATCTAACTCGTATTCCACAGTACAGCAATAGCTGCTAGGTGGTAATACAATTTTGTGCGATTGTTATTGCGACGATCATGGGGGACATAGTTCCCACAGAAGTTAGTAGACCAACCTGAAGCTGAACAACGACAATTCTAAGGTTAATGGTGGAGGTTTGTGAGTAGTGTGAAGTTCGAAGAAAGTAGAAGCCACGATTAAAATTCACGCGCAATAATATGCCTCGGTAGCTCAGGTGGTAGAGCAACGGACCGGAAATTCGTGGACCGGGGTTCAATTCTAAGGTTGCTTAATTCGATCACAGTTGCCGACTCAACAAAAAATGATAGGATTGCAATTGTGGCGTTGACACGACGTCAGTGAGTGTTCGTTTGTCTCCATACCCATAGGCGAAATGTTAATCAGTTGTCGCTTCAGTGTCTCTATGTATGGCGTTACGTAAAGGTCATAGGAAGCTATGAATTCATAGGATCATTAGGTTTCACTTCCATATGGTCGCCCATGGTGGCGAGGAGAGGCAACCATCTAACTTGTATTCCACAGTTCAGCAATAGCTGCTAGGTGGTAATACAATTTTGTGCGTTTGTTATTGCGACGATCATGGGGGACATAGTTCCCACAGAAGTTAGTAGACCAACCTGAAGCTGAACAACGAAAATTCTATGTTTGCTTACTTCTATCACAGTTGATGGCTCAACAAAATGTGAGAGGATTCCAAGTGTGGCGTTGACACGACGTCAGTGAGTGTTCGTTTGTCTCCTAACCCATGGGAGAATTTGTTAGTCAGTTACCACTTCAGTGCCTACATGTATCGCGTTATGTAAAGGTCATAGGAACCTATGTATTCTTAGGATAATTAGACTTCACTTCCATATGATCGCCCATACGTGTTGAGACGCTTTAACAAGTGGCTCTCCAAATGGAACCATTATAAGCACAGTCAATGCAGATGGAACTTCCCTATTACGTCAATGGACTGGCATGCTCTCCTCAAGGAATCGGCATTACTCAACAAAGTAACACTTAAAGGCGCCACAATGACTACGGGGTTTATACTTGCCACATCGTCCTGCTAGAAAGAACGCAAGACTTATGATTAGTGGCGACGCAGGCATGTTACTCTGGTACTTCAGGTGAGTACTTGGAACAGATAAACACTGTTGTCTCACGCACGGGCGTTCCTACAATGTGTTTGCAATCATTTACAAAGGCAACCGCGTCCACTAAGCCTGCTATGGCTCACTGTTTCAGCTAGTCTTAGAAGCATTCATGTATGCACGCCGTGACACAGGTTGTTAGCGACTTAGCAACTACTGGGAAACATTTTGTCATTAGAAAGTAGGTAATTCCGGAGACGTTGTTGAAGGAGAAAATTTTCTCCAAACCCTATGCTTACTATGCGTATGCAATGCTCGTAGGCACCTCATATCAGGGCCGTAGGGTCACTTGAGTTTTAAAGCTTATCAATCACTTCGAAGTGAAGGGTAAATATCATGTTGAAACGCAGGATTGACATGCATCTTACGACCTTAACATAACGGCAGGACCATGGGTCTTGTAGCGGTAACTGATTACCGAAGTGGCCCACAGGTGTGGCGACGAACGAACACTCACTAATGTCGTGTCACCGCCACACTAGGAACCCTCCTCTCTGGAACAATGGCTACAGATCGTTTATTATCCTCTGCGGTGGCCAGAGCATCAGAAATTTGTTTGAATTGAGGTTCATTTTATTGCGTGGGCAGGATACTGTCATGTTGCCCAGGCCTAGACAGGAGAACGATTAGGGTTCTCAACCAAAGCCTTTGGTTCAAAAACCTATCCGCTTGGCAGCGGGTTTGGCACTGGGCTACAAGGAGTCCGTTTTAAGGAACAAGGTGCCACCCTAATTCCAACCCCCAACCTGGAGAACCAGGAGGCTGCGTTTGTCTGGCCTCTAACCACTGATCATTCTGGTATGAGTGCCTCTGAAGGTGCAAAAATGCACCACCCAGTATAGCTCAATGGATCACTGAGGCACACAAACCATCGCACCACGGTAATGTCCAGCCTCATTGCGATGGCATCAATGTCGTGTTATATACTCATTTACGGTTCACCTAATTGCCCCATAGCGATACTCAAAGGGACTCAAAAGGCGTTTCCTGACTATACCTGAAGCTCTTGCTATCGGACGCTTTCAGCCGGAATTATGCAAGCAGCAAGCTCTCGTGCAAGGGCTAATTCTGAACTGGTCCTCACGCAGTTAGCAGGCCTCAAGGTCACCGGTCCATCGTGACTCGTTTGAATCTGTCATTGGTTGCTGTACATAATTAGTTCCCAGTTTAACTGTTTCCTCTATCATTCGACGTCCTTGTCCTTGTACATGGCTAGCAATAGCTTTTTGCACCTTTCAGTTATCTGCTTCATAATTGTAGCGCCTGACGATATTTATGGAAAATAAATTTCTTCGCAATTGATCTCTTCATGTCTGAATGGGCATAGTTTATGAGTATAAGAATCTCTATAGTACTGCTTCTCAAAGGGTGGTCCGCGGATGCCCAGGGGGTACCTGGGCTACTTTCAGGGAATCCGCGTGATCTCCCAAAGTGTCATAATTATATTAGGAACTTTTATCGACGCGATCAGTCTATGTCACAAATTTATGACTAACATGCTGTGAAAATTTTTCAATCAAATCTAACGGTTTACATTATAGCCTTGTGCATTGCCCATGGAAACGTACCTCTTCCAAGGAGGAAGCTGGGAGTTAAAATGCGAGCGAACGAGGCTTTCCAAGTTCAGAAAAGTCGTGTGCTAATTTCACCGTGATGCCATAGGCAGTGGCTGGATGGGTCATTCTACGTCCGCTCAAGCTCACATAACCCAGTCTCTATCCCTCGAGGGGGAGCGAGAGGTATGCCACATGACAGGGCTCAAGTTTGCGATCATTTCAAGTGTTACTATTCTCCGAAAAATAAGCAAACCGGAAGGGAGGCCCGTTTACGGGATCGTTTTAATGGAAGCTCAGCAGGAAAGCGTGGATATTTCTGTGTTTAAGGAATGTGCTCAGCCAATTATGCGAACACGAGAGAAACTACATCAGCGGCGTTACAAAGGGGTGTCACTTTCGTTCACTACGATACTTCTTTCAAAGTACGACTTATCATAGTAACCAAATTCCTGGTGTGTTTTGGACTCTTGTGTTTAATTTTTTATCTCCATTGTGATAGTTAGACATGTAACATCAACAGGAACCATGGAATGAAGAATGGAATACTGACAAATGTTTTACAGAAATATTCTTTGTCGAATTCAGATGTAGTAGTAGTTGGGCCATCCAGTGTGCCTTCTGAGCATGCAGCAACTGAGACGCACGATGTTTCTGTACTACCAGATGTGATGCAATATAAGACTGTGCCAACCGGATCCTCTGTACCAGTGGGTAAGACGCGGAAATAAAACAACATTTATGTTCCTTTTGGATTTATAGTGTCCAGTAATTGTCCACAAGGTGACTTGTGTAACAAATTTCTTCTGAACATGGTGCCTATTAAAATGCAGAGGGATTTGGAAAAATTCATACGGACTGTAAAGACAGAAAAAG